CATCATAACGCGAAGTTATTTTGGCCTTAATTTGTAAAATTTTTCAAAATTTGGGCTTTTATTTGTAATTATTTTCGTTTTGGGCCCTTATTTGTAATTATTTTCATTTTTCAGGCCCTTATATGTAAATTCCCCTAAATTTTAATATTTAAGCTCTTATTTATAAAGTTCACTTTGAAATAATAGGGGCTTCGGAGCTAAGGTTCAGGTTTCTGATATCGAATTAAATTAGTGATGTATTCATTTCGATATCAGTGACCTATAAATCTTATTTATTTCTATTTGTTAGCTTATTTATATAATAGTGAATACCATTACGATCGTAAATTTTCTTTTTTTAAAAAAAAAAACGCTTTCATAATTTTATTTGCGGATAACTCCTATTTCATTTTCTGATTTCGAAATTTCAAAACAAAAATAGAACTTTTCAAACCCCACTTATTTTCAAAATAATTAACACTAAAACCCTTAATATTTATTATTTAATTTTAACAATAATAATATTAATAGCTTGCAATAAATGCTATTAATAAATTAAATATAAGAAGGATGTAGAAAATATCCAAAATATTCAAATAAATATTATACTATATAAAAGAAACAAATGCTATGAATAAGTTAGGATTAAATAATTTTATGCATATCATACGTAATATGTCATTATAATATTAACGATATTAACAAAAATATTTCCATGTGGTGCTACTTTAAAGTAGTTTCAATATTATTTTCAATAACTTTGCTTGCGTAAAACCGACCTAAATAAAGTTATGAATCAAATTCAAATAATTCCTTTTCTGAAGTTTTAATCAATTCATCAAATTCTTCGCTTGAAATTTGAAACATTTTTATAAAGTAGGTTTAAAAATATTAAACGTGGAAATGCAATTACTGATGGCCTATTTATTTCATAAATTTTTTTTTTTTTTAATATTAATTTCTATGAACATGAAAACGATGAAATTTTGTACAATACATTACCATTTTACAAAGTTGAATATCATTATTATACTTTATGCCATGAGGATATAGTTTTGTTTCTTTTTTAATATTTTCTAATTGGCCTAATTTAGAGAGTATATAATTATTAGTAAAATTATTATAACAAAACTATCAGTTCTAAAAATAATTATGTAATCAGATAAGAAAGAAAACCTTGGCTTTGTAAATAGTCCTCTAACTTTTGATATATATGAATATCTGAGCCTCGTTGTTCAAATATTCCCATTTCTTCATGATAATTTATTTCATTTAAGAGCATTATCTACAGTAAGTAAAAGAATAAAGCTAATAGATAACTTTAAGGTACATACCACCATCATATAAACGCCGAGATACTGGACCTAAATCAACCATCTGAGAAGGTTCGCATAACTTTTGTTTTTTTTTTAAAAAAAAAAAAACGATTACTTTAAAAATATAAACAAACTAAATATCAATTTTCAAATAAGCATACTTCTAGGAATCCACCCGGTTTTAAAACTCTAACCAATTCATTTATTGCAAAAGGCCACTTCTCTTTGTTATACCCGCAAACCAGAAATCGTTGAAATACAAAATCAAAATAATTGTCCTCGAATGGTATTCCTTCTATAACATTTGCTTTAATAAATGTGAAATTTTTAGGTTTTATCTGTGTCGATTGGAGTGGAGATATATCTAACCCAACAAACTCAACCAAAGGATATCTAAGAAAATATTATAAATATTAATAATTGTAATAGAATTAAGTATGGTAAACAAAATTATCCTCATCTATGCTTCTGGCATTACTCTTAAGATTCGTGTAAAAGATTAACAAACACCTAAAATAGAGTTTAAATTTATTTTTTTATTAACTAAATATTTGTTAGATATTTTGTTGAATATAAAGATTATGGTGAATTAAGTTTGTAAATTGTTTTGTATCAATGTGTTAATTAAAAAATCTGAAGAAATCAACTACATTTATCAATATGTTAAGAGCAATTTTTCGTATAAAGTTTGAAATATAATTTCGTTATATGAATTATAATAAATAAGTGCTATATTATAGATTCTAAAAATTAAATTCATGATTTCTCTTGTTGAGAATAATTACGTACTAACTATCATAGTAAAATTACGTACATACCCAACATCACAAAATATGCTCGATGGGAGCAGAAAAGTTGCCTTGCCACATATATCTTACCATGCGATGTTGTAAATTTAATCTATCCACTTTAGTAGAGAATATGTTGCATTTTTCACATTATGAAATCTTCTACCATCAATATATTGAAATTCTGCCTGAAATTCAGTTTGTGTATTTTGTGAATCCATAGACTCGACTTTTTCGATTAATTTGAAAAATCAAACAAAATTTATTTTAAATATTAAAAAATGAAGTAAAAATTCGATAAAATCTTATCACTTAAAAATTGGTAGTCAGTCAGTTAGCTTTGTTGGTTAACCTTGGCAAGATAACAATTATTTATATATCTTGTCAACTAATTGTGTAGCTAATAATAATTAATTGGATTTATTCTTTTAAATTGTATTCCATATATTTCTAAATTTAATTTTACTGTGAATAATTAGATCTATTGTACGAGTTTTCATAATATTTAAGATCAATGTTATTCAATTCCCCGACGGTCATTTCCCTGACAAGACATTTAACCTACATCACATAAGACAACATGTTGTACTTTATTAGCTGTCAATATATATTATTAGTGAATTTTCACTAGTGCTCGGCAAAATCAAACAAAAACTCGATTATCGAGTTTTTGAATCTATCAATTTACAATATTGGGAATTAA